AATGGGAAAGCCCTTGACATTCTCAGGATGAGCGAGGAGCTCGGCAGACACCCACCACACGGGGGGCCTCTGGTCCACACAAGGGACAAGCTGTATTGCTGATGCATTTTAAAGTTTTTTGACGTTCTGTGTCTCTGGCTGACTACTGCTTTTTGTAGGGTTCGCCCTTCTCTTTCAGCATGTTGGGAAGCAGGATGGGGTAAGAGGAGGAGAGAGAACAGAAGAGAGGGATCTGGAGAGTGAAGAGAGGCAGAAGAGAAGCGGGGGCTGAGAAGCTCAGCTTACAGGGCTGGCAGGCGACGTTCACGTACCTAATCATGCTGAGGAGTAAGGAAAGGGGCAAAGGAGGAAATCTTCAGAAAAGAGAGAAAGTGCTCACCATTTTTTTAAAATAAGAAGCAAGCTTCAAACTTAAGACAGTAGGAGACAGGGCACCTGGGTGGCTCAGATGGTTAAGCGTCTGCCTTCAGCTCAGGTCATGATCTCTAGGTCCTGGGATCGAGTCCCGGCCCAGCAGGGAGTCTGCTTCTCCCTCTCTGCCTCTGCCTCTCCCCTGCTCATGCTCTCTCTCTGTATCTCTCTGTCTCAAATGAATAAATAAAATCTTTAAAAAATATATAAAGATAGTAGGAGACTTAAAGATTATCTCCTAATCCTTGGGAACATCCCTGCAGTAGGAAAAGCACAGTGAACTAGTGCATCATTCTGTTGTTCATGCTATCATCCATTATTTTTTTTTTTTTAAGATTTTATTGATTTATTTGACAGAGAGAGACACAGCGAATGAGGGAACACGAGCAGGGTGAGTGGGAGAGGGAGAAGCAGGCTTCCCGCAGAGCAGGGAGCCCGATGCGGGGCTCGATCCCAGGACCCTGGGACCATGACCTGAGCCGAAGGCAGACGCTTAACGACTGAGCCACCCAGGCGCCCCGCTATCATCCATTATTAGCCCACTTTATTTTCACAACATCTCAAGAGGCATGCCCCTCATTTTTTTTTTTAAGTAAGATCTTTAAGATTTTAAGTAATCTCTACACCCAATGTAGGGCTTGAACTCATGACCCCGAGATCAAGAGTCGCACACGCCACTGACTGAGCCAGCCAGGCGCCCCTAATGCCCCTTATTTTTCTGACGCCTGTGCATCCCAGGGCGTTAGAAGGCAGTTGCCTACACTTCCTGGAGGCCCCTGCCAGCCGGCTTCTGGTTGGGATTGGCCCGTGGGAGACACAGGTGAGAGACTGCAGCAGAGAGGGGAGAGGAAGCTCCGGTTTGTAGAACAACGCCGGCTGCAGGCTGGGGACTGCAGGCGGCCACAGTGAACATTGGCGCACAGGTCACCCTGGGGTTCTGCTCAGCGTCGGCACCCCTGGGAATTCGCTGGGGCGTCTGGGCTGCAAGCCAAGGGTGGCATCTCCTTCCCCTGCTATTCTGGAGCACCTTCCCCCCACCTGCAACTCTTTCATCACCCTGCAAATCCCTTCTTGGCATTAAATCCCTCTAAATATCTCAAGAAGTTTCTGCTTTCCTAATTGAACGTTGAAACCTATGTGCTTGGTCCCAGAAAACCAACCAAGGACAATGGGAATCGAGGGCCGGTCATCAGAATTGATGGTGCTGGTACAGAGATGACCTCACAGGCAGCCCACCCCGGCAAAAGTTACTTCTTTTGCCTCCTGAGGTTGCCCAGATGGAGTGAGTACTCATGGAAGGCAAGGCGGCCCCAAGCGACCATCATGGTGGGAATGGAGTCTCGTGGGATAGGCTAGCTTCGGATTGCATTGGCGAGTGTGCAGACAGAAAACTGAAGCTTTAACTCTAAACTCTCAGATCAAGCCTGATCAGAGAGCCGGCTCCTCTGGCAGTCCTAAGATTCCTTATCTTCTGTAGCCTCAGAGCTGGTGGGGCTAAAGATCAGACCCACCTTTGATTCTTTCTGATGTATAATTACTACATAAGTTGAATTCACAGCTTCTGCGGGTCTTTTCTGTGAAGTTAGGCTGTTGATTGGGAAGAGCAGGGTCCTGGGAAGTAGAGACAGTTGGGAGGATACATGCATACCTTTAACCCTCATCCCTATGAACCTCTTTGTGGATAGAAATAGCCCCTGCTTGTAGAGATTACTGTTTGCCTGCTTGAAGTCCTATTAATGAGCTTGTTCAAGGTGCTCACCTGACAAGGGGACGCTGAGTCTTTGCCAGACTGGCCCCTCATTAACTCCAATCCGTAACGAATCTGCTCCCAGTATGCTCCAGGGATTCAACTGCGAAGTCCAATTTAGGGGAGGTTCATACAGTAAAAGAATTGGGGGACATTCATATACTTTTAGCAGCAGAAACTTGGGCAGTGCATTGGGGATGGATTCTAATGGTGCCAGTCCAGGTGGACAGAGCATGTTGGATTGGGCTGAATTCCTCAATAGAGCTGACCTAGGGTGCCTGGGTGGCTCAGTTGGTTGGGCGACTGCCTTCGGCTCAGGTCATGATCCTGGAGTCCCCAGATCGAGTCCCGCATTGGGCTCCCTGCTCGGCAGGGAGTCTGCTTCTCCCTCTGACCCTCCCCCCTCTCATGTGCTCTCTCTCTCTCATTCTCTCTCTCAAATAAATAAATAAAATCTTTTTTAAAAAAAATAGAGCTGACTTACCAGGGATTCCGGATTCAGTGTGTTAGCACCAACTAGGATCTGCTCCCTGAGATAAATTGGCGGGGTGAGATTTGGCGTGTAGTGGGCTGGTGGTACTCTTCGTGAAGCACATCTGAGTGCGCTGCTCTGACCCGTTCACCAGGTAACCCCACAGATCGGGGGGGGCAGGTCCCAATAACAGGCACAGCACAGACACCAAGGGGTTTAAAGCAAAACTATATCTTTTACAAATAACTAGTCTCCCATTTGAGCAATAGCTTCCGATTTGCCACTGGACACTGGTAGAGGCCAAATGCCAGTGCATGAGACCCCCAATGTGACCTGAGCTGGGTGCGATGTGATCCACCAAGCCACATGCCACGCTCCGCTGTGCAGGGGAGGCTGATGCCTCTCACCGTTGAGCAGGGCCCAGGAGCACGAGGCAAGCACCCAAACAGGCAGCTCAGACTCCCACAGCACCTCCTCTCCATCCCCCCTTTGCCCACTCCCCACAACTATGGGCTCGGGTTCTCTGTGGGCAGAAGAGGGAAAACAGACCGTGTTGACAGACTGCTCTGGAAATACACCGGCACTAGGCAGAATGGGAATAACGCGGCAGAGCCTGCACTCCATCCATTGTGAGCGTAGCTGGAAGGTGAAGGTGAAGAGAAGTTCTCCCCGCGGCCCGTGGCCCGCCAGCCTGGATGGAGAGAAAGCCAGAGGTGCAGGGTCTACGACAGCTCAGGGCTGGTAGCGCACAGTCTGACTGGTGGCCCAGGAACATGGACAGAACGACCCTGGAGACTTGACAGGAAAGTCTGGGGAAGGTGTTTGTAGATGAACCCCGAGCTAGAGGAACCATGAGGGGACGTGTAGCCCGTGTGAGTGCTCACCAAAGGGCACCTTCCACGCAGGGGGCCTTTAATCAACAAGGGTCAGGATGCCCCACTCGGACATGCCAGTTGCTCTCTCTCCAGCCACCCTCTCTGATGACACCCAGGGCTCGCTTGATGGAAGTTTTGTACAAGTGGTCATGGCTACATCTGGGGCTGATGCAGCAAGGACGTCTCCAAAGACACCAGATCTTTCTGTCTTTCTGCTTTGTCCTTCTTGGCATGTTGGTTTTAGGCCTTGTGCTTGTAACCTCATGGTTCCAGAGTTCTTGACTACATTAGCTGGGAACAAGGCAAAGGGCAGTGGGCCAAGGCTCTTTGCTCATTAAGTTTCGTGGCCGTGTCTTTTTACTGAGGAGGGGATGATCTCCTTAACAGTCTTTCCCTTAACTCTCCTGTGTCAGAATTGGGTCATTAGCTCACCCTGAGAGCAATCACTGGCCAAAGGGAATTTGAACCAATTAAGATTTATACCATGGGGCTGTCTTCCTGAGATCAAAGGGTAAGTGAACAATTGGGGGGTGGGTGGGAGGTGAGTTTTAAGCCAGGGGTTGCTTGTAGGTTAGGCAATAACCAGTATCTGCCAAAGTTGCCAACACTTAAAGTTTTGGAGATTTCACTTACAAATCGAACTTAAAGAGTGGGAAGTCAAGATGGGCTGGCTTTATAGGAGTCCTGTGCCCTTGGCTTTGCCACAGGCCCCACCTCCCTCTCTCATCACCTGTTTCACCCACCCGCCACCAGCTGGGCCCCTGACTTAGGACATTGTTCTAGAGTGATCGGTTTGCTGGTATGTTCTTCCCTCTAGCCTAGCACAGTACCTGGCATGTACGGCGTAAATAAGATGGCGGGCTGGGGGGAAGGAAGGAGCCCATCCTAATAAGCCAAGCTACACTGCCTGAGAGGAGTAGCTATGCCTTTGCTCTCAGAAAAGAGTCCAGCCTGAATCTCACCTCTGCTATTACTGGCTTCCGATTCTTAGTCTCCTCGTCTGTGAAATGAGGATCATAACATCTGCTCCCAGGCTCACTGAGAAGCTCATGGGAGTGCGTGGATAGAAAGCCCCAGGCAAAAACCCAGAAGTTCCTGTTCCTTCCCCAGGAAGGAAGAATGAGCTCAGCTGAAATGAATTTGAGATGGAATGAGGAAAGAAGATCTTTAAGAACGGAGGGCACATCTTATTAGCTTCAAACGGCTAGAAGTGCTTAATAAATATTTGATAATGATAATAATGATCGTTACACTTGGTAGAATATAATTATACAAATTGTAAAAATATAATTATGCCAGGCTGTCATTACAGCTAATGGCTTGAATACGGGGATAATGAGGGGCAAACCAGAGCCCACCATCGTGATGGCTGCCAACAGGCGGCGGCTTGCGGTGCTGCTGCAGACCTTCGTGTGGGGGGTAGGGGCTGGGGGGGGGTGTGTCCGGGCCAAGGGGAGGGATTGGTGGGAGCCAGACTGTGCAGAGCCTGTTGGTCCAGGGTGGGGTGGTGGGAAGTCCCTGGAGAGTCTTCAGCATGAAAGTGACAAGAGCTGATGCATGATTAAAAAAAAAAAATTTTTTTTTGTCATGGCAAAATATCACAACAGAATTTACCATTGAAGCCATTTTTAAATGTAGGGTTCAGTGGTGTTAAGTGCATTAACATTGTGCTGCCATCATCCATCCTTTTCCAGAACTGCTTCATCTTTCCAAACTGAAACTCCTTGCCTTCTAAACACTGATTCCCCACTTCCAGCCCGGCACCCACCATTCTGCTTTGTCTCTATAAAGTATTCCCACTACCACGTGCTTATGGAAAATCACCTGACCGTACACGCATGGGTTTATTTCTGGGCTCTGTTCTAGTCCACCGGTCTCTATGTCTGTGTATACCGATGCCACATTGTACACATTACTGCAGCTTTGTAGTGAGTGTGGAGAGGAAGGGCGAGATCTCCAGCTTTGTTCTTTCTAAGGAGCGTTTGGACTATTCAGAGTCCCTTGAGATTCCATATGAATTTTAGGATGCATTTTTCTACTTCTGCAGAAAATGTTGTTGGCCAATATGATATTACGTTAGGGTGTGGTGAGCAGTTCAGGCAAGATATGATGGTGCTTCCGAAGGTCTAGGTGGTGTGGGGTATAGAGCAACCTGCAGGGATTTGGGGAGGGTTTGGACGGTGAAAGTAACAGCATTTAGTGCTAGATTGGAGGTACGTGAGGAAGAAAAGAGGAATCCAGAATGACTCCTTCGTTGGAGGTTGGAGGAAATGGTGATGCCTATTTCTGAGATGGGAAGAATGGGGAAGGGGTATCAAGAGTTCCTTTGAGGACACGGGAAGTCCAAGATGTCTGGGAGACTGGCAGGTGGAAGAGGGGCCAGCTGCACTGTGGACACCCAAGCGTGGGGGGCAGGGGTGACTGCAGAGCTGGGGAGAGACATACGCATGTCAGCACCAGATGGGTGCCAGGTCATGCCACACTTGGGGCCAGGGGGAGGAGGAGGCAGCGAAGGTGGCCGTAAGCTCCTGGAGAGATTATCCCTGAGCGTAAAAAAAAATCATAGTGAACCCAGAGTCTTCCATGACTGTGTGCATCCCAGGCTGAAGCAGTGAGGCGCCTGACATTTGAGTGGGCAGCGGACCACCTGGGCGTCATTCGCACTAACCTCGGGGGTTGGGAACTCCCAGCCCCCCATGCAGCCCACTTCCGGCCCACCTGCTCTTCACCAGGACCCCTGGATGTCCCTTCTTTACCCCTCTGCAGGTGTCCTAACTGCCTTCCCTGCGCACCTCCTCTCCTCCAGCTGGTCCTTGTCTATGCATTCGGAGCCCCGGCAGCCTGAAGATGGGAAAGTGTCTTATTCGTCTTTGTTTTCCCATTGTCCAGTGTGGAGCCTGGCACATGGATCTCTGGATAGAGAGCGGGGGTAATCTAAAAACCATGTTTTCATTTATGTTCTTGTTTCTGCACCCTGGCCATGTATAACTTGTGTCATTATTTGAAAATAAAAGATCTCAACAACACCCAGGGAAGTGGAAGTAGAATGAACGTTGGTCTGGAAATGATAACAACATAACAAAAGCTAAGGGGACCCTCTCCTGCACTCCTTCACGGCGGATGGGCCCTGGCGGGGCCTCTGCAAGGCGAGGCGGGGCGGAGGGGTGCCCGCACGACAGCAAGCCAGCGACCGCGCAGCTCCCACAAACCTGTGCAGCACCAACGCTTGGGAAGACAGGTTGGCAGTTCTTAAAATGTTAAACGCATTCTTCTATGTGACCCAGCAGCTCCGCTCCCGATATTGAGCCCAAGAAGCAAACGCTTATGTCCACACAGAAGATTGTCCCTGAGCGTTCAGCTCAGCTTCAGTCACAGTGGCCACAAACGGAAACAACGCGAATGCCCATGAACAGATGGACTGGTGACCGAATGACGGCACGTCCACACAATGGACCTCGCCAGAAAAAACTGCCCATACAGCAACCCAAACAAGTCTCCAAAGCTTATGCTAAACCAAAGAAGCCAGACACAGAAGAGTACATGACTCCGTTTATGTGAAATCCTAGATCAGGCCAAACTAATTTATAGCGACAGAGAACAGACCCTCGGTTGCTTGCTGCGGTGGGGATGGAGCCGGCCACGGGGGCCTGCGGGAAGACGATCCGGGTCCTGATTGTGCCAGGTGCTCACAGGGGTGTGTATGTGTGTCAAAACTCATTAAACTGTACGCTTCAAATGAATGCCTTTTACTGTACGAAGTTCTATCGTGATGAAGTTGATTCGAAGGAAAGGCACCGTCCTTGCTCTTCTGGAGTCAGTGGGGTGAGGAGAGGTAATTCGGGTGGGGACAGACAGGGCGCCACAGACTGTGGGCAGGGTCCTGCAGGAAACGTGCAGGGGCTGGGGAGGCACCCGAGGGCAGAGGGAGCCCCAGTGAGCAGAAGACCAGCATCGGCACCCCTTGGGGGAAGTGAGGGGAGCTTCATGGTAGAGGTGAAATCTGACCTGGGACTTACCAGCATCATCACACATCATTTTTTTCTTATTACCAAAGCAACACTTCTAGATGATACAGAAAAATGAGAGAAAGCAGACATGTACAAGGAGGATGAGGAACCGCCGCCGTCCTGAGGTGCGCCCCTCCAGACCCCCGTTACAGAGAGAAGGGCACTCCGGGCCGAAGGAACAGCTTACACAAAGGTGGGGGTACTGGGGAAGTAAGCTCCGTATGGTTGATCAAAGCTTTGGAGAGAAAGACAGACCCCAGTCACAGCTGTGGCTGCAGCTGCAAAGAGGGAGAGGCCAGGACCTGAATTCCTGATGATGTGGGGCGGGGAGGAGTTGGGAAGGGGTGCAGGACCCAGCTCTGGTGTAGCAGTCGTACCATTGTCCCCATGGGTCCATGCCCTCAGGCTTACAGAATTTAGCTCTTGATTCACAAACCACAAAACTCTTAATTCCACCCATCAATGATTGGATTTAGAAATAACTGGCGGGAATCAGGCCCCCCAGGGCATCCATGCCTGATCCCTCTCCAGGCGGTGCCTGCTACAGGTCTCCTAGTCACTAACAGCCCCGGTGTCTTTCCCTGCTGGTGCCCATGACTGTGAATCCCTTTTTGTGTTTCTAATCAGAACCTGGCACTTGCCTGGGTCTGGGTTAATGGTAGCCTGGAAACCAGGAGTGGCTTGGGAGGGGGAGGTCTGGGGGGCCGGGAGGTGGGAGCCTGGGGTCTTTCCCACCCCAGAGCCGAGTGCAGAGGGCGCTACAGTTCTCCTCCAGTGAGGATTGTATAGTGCTTGCCTACACACACACACACACACACACACAGCCTCCAGCCGGGCACTCACTCTCAGAGCCAGGATGCCTCTCAGCTCAGAACCCTCGGGCCACTCCTGCTCCTCCAGGCCCTGGCCAGCCTGCCCTTCCCTGACCCCACCAGGGATGTCCAGGAGCACTTTGTGTCCCTGTGGCTCATTTGGGTGCTCAGTTTCATTAGTATGCAGCTGCGACTGGTTGGTCTGTGTGGCATCAGGAAAATTGCTTTGGCTCTCTGGGTACCCCCTTCCCGGCCGTAAAGGAAGAACAGCTACGAGGTGACTGGTGTGAGGAGCCAGCAAGCCAGCAGGAAAAGGCACCTGCCCAGTGCCTGGCACAGAAGGTGCTATAGATAAATGTCCATCCATTGACAAATTTCGCGCCGTGAGAGAGCAGCTCTCTGCTTCGTGTCCCGGGTTTACACTGTTTGAACCACAGTAATTATTAACAAATGCCCGCTTCCCTCTAAAGTGCCCTGGCTTGGGTGACAAATGATGTTACCCTCTCACGGGCCAATCGTCTCTATCCTTTCCCACCCAGGAAGGAAGAAGAAGCTAGTTGAGCCCACGTTCTAAGTCATTTTGCAGCCTGGGGGGCGGGGAGTGAGTCAGCACCCCGGGTAACAGATGAGTAAGAGGAGACCCCAGCCCAAGGCCACCCGGATTCCAGATAGGATTCAGGTCTAGATCCGTTTGCCTAGAACGCATGCACGTTAAATTTACCTTTCTTTATGACAAGATGTTTAGCTGTTAGAGGAATTCTTGCTTTTAGATTTTTTTTCTTTTTTCTTTTTGTAAACAGGTCTGTCTGGGGACTCTTGTACCTTAATTCCAAGCAACAAATAAATGCTCACATAACTACAGTTAACACAGTGAGCACATTTAGGAAAAGCCCATCAGGAGCAGAGGGGGCAGGGTCACCTGCTTAGAGTCCGGGGGGAGGGGGGCATCTTGGCTCCCAGAGCCTGTATCATCATGTCTCTCCATCTTCCAGAATGGCCCCAAAGAAGCTTAAGTCCCCGCCCTGGAGCGTAGAAGGCCGTGAAACTGCTGCACACCTCATTTTGGCACGGAATCATGTCCGCTTGGTGTGGTCACCCTGGTGGGAGCCTCTGCCGATCTGAAGCTCTGGTGGGGATTTTCAGTGAGTCTGATTAATGAAGCATTCCCCCCGCACTGGCCAGCCTGGATGGGCTCATGCACGGCTGTGCACTGACGTCCCGGGGGACTCTCTGGCATGTGTATCTACGGCCTTAAAAGGCTTTTGCCTTTGATCCGGGAATTCTGCTTCTGGAACTGTCTCTAAGGAAATCATCTGAAATTTGGAAAGAGCATTATGCACAAAGATGCTCAGAACAATGTTATATATAGCAGTAAACGTAGGAACATTCAGCTCTTGAAGGATAGGCATTTGGTTAAGTGACAGTGGTGTAGCCTTGATGGGGTATTGTGTAGTCATTATAAGTAAGATACACGAACACAGAATGTGGTACAGGTGTCCCCAGATACCCACTGCCTGCCCTCCACTAGCTCCTGCCATTGGTCTGGCCAGATTTAGGCGGGGGTGGGCGAGGGGAGGAAGGAAAGGTATTGTTAATGTCAGGAATAAGAACTACATCCAGTCTGAAGATGATGTTCGTAACTCTCGGGGGCGTGAAGGATGCTCCCATTAGCTGGGAGTCAGGCTATGTTGCTGTAGGCACCATGTACTTACAACCACCCCAACTGGAAACTTGGGCTAAAATCTGGGAAAGCTTTCGGGAAATAATTTTTCACAGCTATCTCAAGTTTCCTTGTGAGTTCGGCATCAAGGAATATTACAGAATCAACAATATATATCCAAGTGTCCTTATTTTAAAAAATATTTTATTTATTTATTTGACAGAGAGAGAGAGCTCGCACAAGCAGGGGGTGCGGCAGGCAGAGGGAGAGGGAGAAGCCGGCTTCCCGCTGAGCAGGGAGCCCGATGCGGGGCTCGATCCCAGGACCCTAAGATCATGACCTGAGCCGAAGGCAGACGCTTCACTGACTGAGCCACCCAGGCGCCCCTGTCAAAGTGCCTTTAAATAGAAACACACATGAAATGAAGTTGTTTATTGTCCAGCTGGCGAAAATGTCGTGATCAGGGGCTTGCAGAAACCTCACCACCTATGTCCCTGAGGAGCAGTGGTTCAGTATTTATTAATTCAGTGTTTATAGCAACTCTTATAACTGCCACCAAAAACGAGTATCAACTATCTTATAAAGCAAAAAGAAACAAATGTGCTTTAGTGGTGAGAAGCCTGTCTTCCCTTCAGTCAGGGCTCTTGGCCTTGTGTGAAACGGTGATGTCTGGGTCCTCCTGACCTCGGATCAGAGCCCCTCAGCTGTCCTGCAGTCCTTCATGGGCTGCCAGAAACTTGGGAACGTTCCTTACCTTCGTTGACTCCCCACTGCCTCTCGCCTTGGAAGAGAGACCGTGGTGGAGCCCCCGCCCTGGTGCCTAGCGCTGACTTGGTGCTCCATTGACGTTCTACCTGCCACCGCGGTCCTCCTGACCGTGGTCATCTCATCAGCCCTCCTGTGCCCATTCTGTAGGGGGTGAGACAGGGGCTCAGAGCAGCCTTGGGGCTCACGCAGAGTCAGGTAGTGAAGCAGAGGGGCACCGGCCTGGCTCAGACATAGAGTGTGAGACTCTTGATCTCAGGGTCATGAGTTCAAGCCCCACGTGGGGTGAGGAGACTACTTAAAAAAAAAAAAAGGAGCACCTGGGTGGCGCAGTCTGTTGAGCATCAGACTCTTGGTTTTGGCTCAGGTCATGACCTCGAGGTCATGGGATCCACATTCCCAGGTCAGGCTCAGCACTCAGTGGTGAGTCTGCTTGGGATTCTCTCACCCTCTCTCTCTGCCCCTCCCGCTTGTGCACGCATGTTCTCACTCTCTCTCTCTCTCATGAACAAATAAATCTTAAAAAAAGGGAGGGGGCCTCCTGGTTAAGCTTCTCAGTCGGTGAAGCATCTGCCTTTGGCTCAGGTCATGATCTCAGGGTGCTGGAATCGAGTCCTGCATTGGGCTCCCTGCTCAGCAGAGAGTCTGCTTCTCCCTCTCCCGCTGCCCCTCCTCCCTGCTTGTGCTCTCTCTCTCTCTCTGTCTTATATAAATAAAGTCTTAAAAAAAAAAAAAAAAGAAAGCGAGAGAAAAAAGAAGAGGCAGAGATAAGATTCAGATTCTGGGCCGGCCAACTCCAGAGACTGGCTTCTTCCTCCTGCAGTTCTTATGTGGTTGAGTCCTCTTGGCTCTTTCCGTGCCTTTGTTTCATACCCTTACAAACCTTGTTCCATTCGACTTGGGCGCTGGTACCCTGCATGGCCGAGCCCCTCCTCTTCCCCAAGCTGCAGCCACGGGCCCACTGCCATTACTGGAAGCTTTGGAAATAAAGACTTCCCACATGCCTCCACTACTCCAGAGTTCACGTTTGGTAGTTCCCTCCCAGGCGTTTACCATGGGCAGATTCAGTTTGTATGTTCATTCTTGTTCTTTGTCCAATTTGGCATCCTGCATTTTTGCTTAATATTAAAGCATTTCTCTTGCTCCTTTTAATGATTGCTCCTTGTTTACAGACTAGTGGAAGGAAATACATTTAATTAGTAGCTGTGTCTTATAATAGTGCAATTCTGGAATATTTTTCTTCTTTCCCTTATTTTTCTTGAAATATATTAAAAAAAAAATATGGTGAGGCGCCTGGGGGGCACAGTCCATTGAGCATTGGACTCTTGGTTTGGGCTCAGGTTGTGATTTCGGTATCATGAGATCAAGCCCTGCATCAGGCTCTGTGCTCAGCACAGAGTCTGCTTGGGATTCTCTCTCCCTCTCCCTCTGCCTCTCCCCGCTCATGTGAATGCACTCTGTCTCTCCCTAAAATAAATAAATAAAACTTAAAAAAATATATGGCTAAAATGTCAACCCTCACTTGTCAATGTATTGACTTCTTAGTTATCCCATGTCAGGAGGTCCCTTAGCCGTCCAGGCTCATGTTGTGTTTGAAAGACAACACTTGTAATCCCTTCCAGAGGTGCACACTGGACATTCTCAGTCTGAAGGGAGATAAGCATGGCTTAAACCATGCCTGTGCCCAAGGGAGGGAAAAGTACTCCGAAAACCCAGCAGCTTATGATGGCACTTTGTCCCACTTCATCGTTGTGCCTTCTGCAAATACAAGGCTAGCCTCGCGTTCTGGAAAGCAGTGACCTTTGCTTGTTCGTGAGGCTGGCATGGGGCCTGACACATAGTAGGTGCTCAGCAAATGTTCATAGAATGAGAGCAGCTCACGTAGTCAAGATTTAGTGCCCCTGGGGAAGGGATTTAAGGCTCGTCCACAGCTTATTTCAAGGGATCCAAATAGAGATCAGAGAAATAAGGCTTTAAAGTTGATGAAAAAACGTCTTTCAATCAACAGTCAGGGGAAAATGCCATGGCCACAAGGCCACAGAACATTCTTCTCTGAGTGCATTAAATCGATCCACCCAGGGCTGCTCTCAGAAACCACCTTCTCCCCTCTTATGAAATCAACTACGTGCCTTTTAATGAGAAATCCCTCGTCATCCAGACAGGAGAACACAGAGTTCTGGCTTTGCTATGAACTTTCCGTGGAAATATACTTTTTTGAGTGTTCTCTCCTGAATCTATATTGAAGATATCGACTAAGGCAGATTTATTTCAGGAGTGAAAAAATAAGAGCATAAATTCACTTGGACCAGCCGTCCTTGCTGCTCTAGGAGTACGAACAATTACCCAGATATCTGGAGGTGGGTGTCCACATGGCAGCCCTTCTCGTTCTCCCTCACACCATGTGGTAGGCTGAATTATGGTCCCCAGAGAGTTCCTGACCCAACCCTAGAAACCTGTGAGTACGTTAGGATGTGTGGCAAAGGGGAATTAAGGTTGCAGATTGAATTAAGTAGCTAATCAACTGACGTTAACATAGGGAGATTATCCAATATTATCCTATGTGCCTAGTGTCATCACCAGGGGCTTTAAAAGTACAAGTGGGACTCAGAGTCATCAAAATCATAAAGACGGAAAGTAGAATGGTGTTTGCCAGGGACTAAGGGGAAGGAGGTTTTGGGGAGTTAGTGTTTCATGAGTACAGAGTTTCAGTTTGCGAGATGAAGAGAGTTCTGGGGATGGATGGTGGTGACGGTGGCCCAACAATGTGAATGTGCTTAATACCACTGAGCTGTACACTTAGAAATGGTTATATACCAAACAGTACTCAATTGTATTCTTTTTTTTTTCTTAAGATTTTATTTATTTATTTGACAGAGAGAGACACAGCGAGAGAGGGAACACAAGCAGGGGGAGTGGGAGAGGGAGAAGCAGGCTTCCCGCCGAGCAGGGAGCCCGATGCGGGGCTCGATCCCAGGACCCTGGGATCATGACCTGAACCGAAGGCAGATGCTTAACGACTGAGCCCAGGCACCCCTCAGTTGTATTCTTTAAAATGGTACATTTTATTATGTGAATTATACCTTAATTAAAAAAAAGAAGTGTGAGACTAAACAACCCCTTTTTCCTGGTTTGATAGATGATGGTGTAATGCCTGGAGCTGCTGCAACCATCTTGGAGTCATGAGGGGCACTGGACACAGTTGACCAAGTGTCTCTACCCACTTTCCGGGGGTAAGCCCTGGGCCTGACTGCAGACCCCACGTGGGCCCTGGCACGTGGCAAGTCCCTAGGAGTTGCTTACTGAGTGGATGAAGGAGGTGAGGGTGGCTTCGTCAGAGTGCGAGTGATGAAGTAGATTCTGCCTCTGTCAGTGTGTGGGGGATTCGGGCAGCAGTAGTAGTGAGCATACCTACTATGTGCAACCCCTGCTGGGCTCTCTGCAGGCCCTGAGGCCTTTCGCCTCCACAGCTGCTCTGAAGGAAGCACCAGGTCTGCATTTTACAGATGAAGCTGGAGGCTCGTGCCCAAGGTCACACAGCCGCCAAGCAGACAAGCGGGATTCAGACACACTTCTCACTAACTCTCAACTCTTTAAAAAGAATACTAGCACTGGGGCACCTGGGTGGCGCAGTCAGTTAAGCGGCTGACTCTCAATTTTGGCTCAGGTCATGATCTCAGGGTCGTGGGATCGAGCCCTGCATTGGGGTCCGGGCTCAGTGGGGATTCTGCTTGAGATTCTCTCTCTCCCTCTGCCCCTCCCCCCCACTCACGCTGTCTCTCTCTCTCCTAAATAAGTAAGTAAATCTTTAGAAAAATATTTAAAAGAATCCTAATACTATGACAACAGCTAACCTTTACGTGGGCACCGCTGAGCGTCAACAACCCTACTGACGGATCTACAAGGTGCTGTGTTAGCCCCCTTGTGTAGACCAGGAAACTGGGAGCCAAAGAGGGACAACGTCCCACAGCTGAGTGGTGGCGGCCCGCGCGGGAAGCCCCAGTGTGGGAAGCTGGCGGCCATTGCGGGCCCTGCCCCCCGGCTCTAGCTCAGGACACTGCGCCCCCCGCCCCCGCCACCCACAGCAGCAAGGCCAGGTGTGTATGAGCAGGATGTGGGGCGGAGGATAAGGTCAGTTGCTAATGTGGTTTTCGCCTCAGAGCCTCTCACATTTCAGGCCTGTGCTGGGGTTACAGAGCGGGTTGGTGGGGCGCTTCCAGGCTGGTGGAGGAGGCGGGGCTGCACCCACCATGACAGGTGCACTGGGCAAGTGAGCCAGGTCCCATGAGAGCAGTGCTCAGGCCAGGGGGGGGAGTGTTCCAGAACAAAGGGACGGAATGGAGGGTGGAAGTGGCCCTCTGACAGTGGTGAGGAGATGCTAACCCTCTGCACCAGCCCCATCACAGGCTCTGGAGTGAGTGTGCACTGTCCCAACAACACCATTTACTAACTGTAGGCTCACACTGGCCTCTCTGGTCTTTGAAATCTGACAGACCTGGGTTCCGCCTCTCACTAGGACTTTGTCAGTGGACACATCGCTCCCGTCCTCTGAGCTGCAGTCTCCTGGAGCACTAAGTGGAGGATGACCTGTCTGCACAGGCCGGTGTGAGGGTCAGGAGGAAATACGTACAGCCCGTCAGGCATTCCCTGAATGCCAGCTATGTCTTGTCACTGAGCCTGTTCTCCTCCTGGGGGCTGGAGTCGATGTGCTTCCTGCCTGTGGTGGGCTGGACAGTGCTCCCCAAGATCTCAGGGCCCCCATCCCAGCAGCTGTGGATATGCTCCTCGCAGGGCAAAGGGGAGTTTGCTGAGTGCTAAAGCTCCCACCTTGAGTTGGAGAGGTTATCCCGATTATCCAGGTGGGCCCAGAGTAGGCACAGGAGCCCTTACAGAGGAAGAGGCAGGCAAGAGTGGGAGAGGTTCGACAGCAGGGATGGCAGGAGAGACTGGTGCTGTGGGAGGGCCTGCACTCGGATTTCTGGCTTTGGGGTTGGGGCAGGAGCCTCTGGAGTGGACCTGGGCCCCAGCGAGCTGCCAGCAAGGAAACAGGGTCTCAGCCCTAAAGCTGCCGGGAACTGAATTCTGCGGACCATGCTCCCCCCACCTACTGGACTTCCGCCTTACACAACTGTATGATGATAAGTTCGTGGGGCTTTTTTACGCCTCCAACTTCATGGCAGTTCATTACAGCAGTGATAGAGAATGAACACACGCCTGGGGAGCGAGGGCTCGGTGCCCGTCTCCACCTTGAGCCGCTGCAGGGGGGCCAAACTGCCCGCCCTGCTCTCCTGAATCAGCCTAAGACCATTTTCCACCGTCTCTGGCCGGAACATGGGCAGGACGGTGGAGACTTGAAAAGGCCAAGTGTATTTGGCTTTGTGCCCAAATAAAGCTCTGGTTATGAGTGTACTTGCTTAAAAAAAAAAAAAAAAAAAAAAAGCCAAGCGCTGACCCACTTTTTCCTGACTGCTCTGGCTCAGACATGTCCCTCTAAAAGGAAATTTATTTCCAGCACACGCTGTTCCCAGAGCTGACATCACCCACCTCAATTGGAAGGAGAAGTACTTAGAAGAGCTCTCAGGGGCTGGCCCCCAGCATCCGATAATTGAACAGAAGTTCTGCAAAAAGCTGGCACTTTTTTAAAACTGCATCAGCCTGGCAGTGGAGGCGCTGGGAGCTAGGCATGAGTTAGACTCTCCAGCCGGGAGAATTGTTGCATGGCGTCTGGTCCCAGGCACTGCGGCCCGGCCGGCGGGCCGTAACGCCGCAGCACAGACTTCTGGTGGTGATCACGGCTGCTCAAGGGCAGAATGTCTCCTCTGGAGGGCTGTGCCCCTGTCTCTGAGCAGGGCTGGGCTTGGCCCAGGGTGGCCCTGCCAATCCCCTTTCGGAGGCCCTGCTAGCCCTGAGATACAGGCACGTGCCAGGCCCAGTCGGGGAGAGCGTGGGGACTTTGAAACCAGCCAGCGAGCACATAGGTGCCGGCTCTCCTTTCACTAACTGGGAGACCTCTGGCGAGCCTCGCTTATCCCATCTGTCAAATGGGAGCTGTATTCTTTTCCTGTTGCTGCAGTAACAAATCACCCCAACCTCACTTGCTTAAACAATGCAAATGTATTCTCTTAAAGTTCTGGAAGACAGCAGTCCTGAAATCAAAGCGTCCATGGGGCTGTGTTCCTTCTGGAGGGTCTAAAGGAAAATCCATTCTCTGCTTTTTCCAGCTTCTAAGGATGCCTGCTTTCCTTGGCTTGCGGCCCCTTCCGCATCCTCACAGCTGGTGGTAGAGCCCCCCCAAATCTCCTTCTGGGCCATCAGCTTTTGATGTCACATCTCTGGCTGCAACGCTCCTGACTCCTTTCAGGAGGACCTCTGAGACCACACTGGGCCCACCTGGATCATCAGGGTGGTGTCCCCTCACCAGACGTTTAATTCAATCACACCTGCAGACCCCTTTTGCCAGGCAAG